TTAAATATTATGAATGAAGAATATTTATTATTTCTATTTTATTCTATTCTTATTTTTGTCGTCACATTTTCGTTAATAAAAAGTGATAATGGAATGTTATTTGTATTTATTTTTATATCATAATAGGATTTTTATTGTTTTTTGTTTTTATTATATTTTTTATTTTAAATATTGTTTTCAATTTAATATTATCATTCTTCTTTATCGTTTTTCTATATTTATGATTGATGTTTATTTTAATTATATTCTTTCATGTCAACGATTATTTTTATTTAAATCAATTATATTTTATTTTTATTTTTATTCTTCATTCTTTTGTATTACCCCTCTCTTATTTTTTCTTATTTTTGTTACTATTCATTTGATTTATTTTACATTATTTATGTTTATTTTTATATATTGAATTTATAATGATTTATTTAAATGAAAACAAAATAATTGATTAATGTATTAATTTATCTATTGTTCATATTCAGTTAATTATTTTAAAAGAAATAAAGTGATTAAATTATATTAATATTAGTGTTGATCATATTTCTATTACAAATATTTGATATCATTTAACATTATTTCATTCTCTCTTTTTATTTTAAATCAAATGAAATAAATGAAAAATACATTATTTCATTCTTTGATATTTCCATTTTAATTTCATTATATTTTATCTTCTTTTTATTTGTATTGTTTATAGTGTGTGTGTGAGTAATTATAAATTATGTAATTATTTATTCTTTAACTAACTATTCATTCTTATTGTTATTCTATGGTATTTCTCTATTATCTCATTCTTATTTTTACTTTCTCTTTTATATTTTATCAATTGATAAATTAGAAATATTTATAAAATAAAATTACATATTTATATTTACCCCCTTTTTATTTGTTTGTTGTTATTGTTAAAATTGTATGAAATGTTTTATAATTAAATATTCATTTTTTAATTTAAATTCAGTTTTCTCTATATCACATTTAAGTATATTAATTAATTATTTCTTTATTTGTATTTAATAAATTGAATGATAATAATTTCTTGAAATAATTAATTTCAATATATTGATATGTTGTTTTATCATTGTTATTTATTTACATTTATTTAATTATTTTTTATTTATGATTATTATGTTATTTATTTGATTATTTATTATTCATTTTATCATTTATTTGTTATTAATGAATGAATAAAACATTATGAATAAATTAATAAAATAAATATTATTAATTCATTATGAAATGATAGTTAAATATCATATTATGAAATTAAATTAAAATAACATTGAATTCAATAATATTATGTTGTATTATATTATATAATTCAATTTTAAATTATAATATCATAATTTAATTAATTTCATTTATTAACAATTATATTATCATTTATTTTATGTTTGAATTTTGATTATCATTTAATTTATTAGGATTTATTATTAAAATTACATATTAAACATTCTTTATCATTTATATATTTAATTTTATTTATTATTTATTTCATATTTATCATTTATTTTAATTATATTATAAATATATATAAAATGATTGTTATTTTACTTTTAGAATTAAATAAAATAAATATAAATCAAATTAATTTATGATAATCATATTTTATATGAAATATAGAATATTTAATCATTATATAAAATATAATGAAAATAAAAATTAATTTAAAATAAGAAATAACATTATATAATGTTTATAAATGTGATTAAATTAATATTTATTCTATTTGAAATGATTTAATGTTTATTATCAATCAATATATCATTGATAATTATAAAATTATTGAAAATTAATCATTTCATTCTTATAAAATGAAAATATAATATTCATCTAATTAATTTATTCATTTTTTATCTTTTTCTTATTTGATTTAATTCAATAATTATTTATTTATTCTTTATTTTATATTATTCATTCATTGTTATATTCTCATTATCTAATTATATTATTTCTGTTCTTATCTTGTTATGTTATTCATAAAAATTACTTTCATTTTATTCTTTCTTTTCATCATTTATTATTTTCTTTGTTAAAACTTTAAATTTATTAAAAATTCATTTTACTTAGACAATAACTCATCATCATCCTAATCACTTTCTTCACCTTTTTGGATGTAGATTTTTCATATTCTCATATCTTTCTTTAGTTATTCTTCACATTTACATCCACTAAAACATTCATTTCCTATACATTTAACTGGCGTTGGTGTGTCAATTGATTTTAATGATGAACATTCCTTAAAACATCCATCTCCTATTTTTCTAATTGATGATGGAATAACAAATTCATTAATATCTCTTTCTCTTATTTCTTTTCCATTAATTCTTTTTAAGTTATTAATAGGAATTGAAACTAGTTTTTCTTTTCCTACAAACATTCTATCCTCACTAATAAATTGAATATTTTCAATATTTATACTTGTTAATGATTCACAACCTTCAAAACACAGATATACCATATTTTAATAATTGGTGATGGTATATTAATAGATGTTAATGATGTACAATATAAAAACATTCATCTCCAATTTCCTAATGATGTAATATATGTGGGGATATTAATTTTATCAATATCACGACAATAATAAAAACATTCATCACCAATTGCATTAAATCCTTCTGGAATGTTCAATCCACATCGTTCTCTATCTTCATTTGTATACACTTTTGTCATTGTTATTATGTAGTTATTATCATTTCATTAAATAATAATGGATGACGAATTATTATATTTTCTTTATTCTTCTAATGATGTTTATTTATTTTACATTTTTTTTATAGTCATTACATAAAATTATTAATATTATTGTTAATGTAATGTTATTTGTATTTATTTTTATTTTATATTTTTATCGTTTTTTTATGAAATTTGTTCTTTTATTTTGTATTTATATTTTTGTTCATTTCTGTATTATTTATCATTGTTATTAATGTAATTATTCTTTTTCTTTATATAATTTCTTATTATAATTTATTTTGTTTGTTATTTTTTATTCAATTCAATTATATTTTCTCATTTATTTTTATTTTATTACCCCCTTTTTTATCTTGAAAAGTAACATAATACAATTATTTTATTTTTCTATTTATTTTATTTGAAATTATTTAATTTTATGATTAATCATTATTTATAAAAATAAATTCAATTTTACCCCCTTTTTATTTTCTCTTTATTTATATTTCTTTCTTTTATATTCTTATTATTAGATTTACATATCCTTTTCCTATCAAATTTATATGTTATGTTAATGAAACAATTCTAAATTGAATTAATTATGATATTTTCTATTTTTGATAATACACTCATCATATTTATTATTTATTCATTTATTTTATTCTCTCTATTATTTATTTTCTATTTATTTCTTTAATATAATATATAATATGTTTATTTATGAATTATAATCTTTAATTTTATATCTTATTATAATTTATTATCTGATTCATTATTTAATTTATTCTTATTTATTATAT